CCAAATCGACGTAACTTCTATTCTCTGGCCATTTTTTCGATGAACGGTTGACGAGATAATCCATAAAAGTTCCCACTGGTGGATATGGCAGTTTTAGGAGCAGGCCCCATTTCTTGGTTGGCTTTGGATGATGGTTCCATCGCCGAAAAGTTACTGAGATCGCGGAATGACTGCGCCACCTTCAATTTTTCTCGAAGTAGTTAAGCCTAATTTCGCTCGGAGTTTAATCAGCAGCCTAAATTGATTATGGGAAGGCGAACAGATGAATAAGAAAACGAAAGCTCAATTATACTTCGCGAAGGCCCATGGCCAATGGACGAGAAGCACCAGGCGACAGGGGCCGACGGTGCTGACTAATGCATCGTGCGATCGGCAACTCATGCGGCTTTCGCCAGCAAGGGGAAGAAAAGCTACCTAGTTCGAACGCCTCCAAAGCCTATGCAGTTTACAATGAGTATGAATGGGCTTCTATAGAATGCCTGTTCCATGAAAGCCAGCTAAATCTACAGGTCCGTCCGTTGCATTTTACCAACTTTTGAAAAGGTTCACCGTGAGACCCCTGGTGCGCGATGCCTCAGCCATGGCTCAATTTCGCCCTGCATGAAAGGGAGGGTGTAGTAATACGCGAACAAAACAAATTAAAGCATGATTGAGCGTCATCAAGGCTTTAACTCATGATGTAATTTGCTTGAGTCAAGATCATCTTATGTCTCGCTGACGTTTATTGTCGGCGCTGATATACGGCGTTTAGGTCATTACTTAGCGCGTGGTATGAATGCGTTGAATGGTAAATAAGCTTGCGCTGCTGTTCCTTGGTGTTCGAATTAAGGAAAAGGAATTAGAAAGAGGAGAACATGAGGACAATATTGTAGCGGTTTCGGTATATCTGACACATCTCAATCCACACGAATATTTCATTTCATCAGCTCTGCAAACTATGAAAGGGGCTCAGGAACACTCGGAAATCTCACTGAACCGATAGAGCAGAGAGTAAGCAAATTGCGGAATGGATTGGCCATTTCTGATGATTGCTTGAATTCAACGAATCTCAAAAAATTCCCAAAACTACGACAAAGACGTCTTACATGGTGTTCAAGAAGAAGAAGAAGTGCACTTCAAGTGCACTTCGAGAACGGTTCCATATGAAATAAATGGATCGGTGCCACTTTCTTATGAAATGCATGGTTTATTCGGAAAATCTCATCTAGCATGATTATCAATAGGCTACGAATATTTCAGATATTGAAGGTTGAAAATCGGCAAAACAAAAAAAGAAAGATTTCATGAAAAGGAGTACTAACCAGAAACTAGGAATTAGCTGTGATAAGTCCTTTTTCCACCAAATCAGGTATTTCGACCGCCAACCATGGACCCAGTCCGAGAGAAAATGCATGAGCGATTCCAAATTTGGGTACGTTTCTAGCCCATAACGGTTTGAAATGGTCTGATAAGCAAATCTTTCCACCTCGGTACATCTGAAATCATAAATAACACGACGGCCTCGGCTCTCAAACAAAATAGGCAACAAACTGATAAAAAAAGCCACACTCCTTCAGATCGGGAGCTATCTTCTATTTATCGAACGAAGTTCATTTAGAAAGAACCAAAAAATTTCCCAATACTTAAATCTCAGACATTTTTCTTTCAACGAGTGGTTTCGATAATACAATAACAGGTCAAAGTGGTAACGCTGAGAGATCTCGATTCCCTTGGATACTTATTTGTAGTCATGTGCTGCACTCGTCAATTGGACAGGATTTTGTTGATGAGCTGTTAGGTTACCTACCACAAAGTTAAGCACTGCGGAATCTGGAGCAAACATCTGCTGAATAGGTCTTGTACATACTATCATACATCAAAAGAAATGATCGGTTCATCTATGCGTCACAGAAAAGAAAAAGAAAGTCCCATGAAGACCGACTTTACTACACGTGCCATATGGGAGGTCTTCTAGTGAACGCAGTAAAGCCGTTTACTGATCCATCCATGACCCTAACGATCCGTTCATTGTATAACTACGCAAAACGAAGACAGCAGCTGTTGATATGCGCCCTAACCGCTTTCAAACGCATTGCGGATAAAATGGCCTTCGTTGCCTTCAGAATGGCCACAGCGGATATTACAGACTTAAGCCAGTACAAGTTACCAGTTAATGTCTGCTGTATTGTTGTCTTGGACCATTTCTACACCTTTTGAATCCAGATATATGGCGTAAAACAACCAGCAGCCCTGATACTATGGTACATCCAGGATCAAAAAGCCATGATTGCGGCCTTTCTCCCGCCTATAGCCTATATTCTTTTCTTGAGCCAGAACTCGATGGCAAGTCAAATGAATCTCCAACCTAACAGCTAGTTTCAATTCAGTATATCATTCATTAGAAGATAGAGAGGCAGGTAAGCCGAATCAACTTAACCACAACAAAACGACTCCTACCTTGGCTGTTTTTCCATCAAGTTCAGGCAATGCTATCTCTGGTGCTGTTACAGGATAAGTTACTGGAATGTCAAATTCAACGTCAAACTCGTATCTGGAAATAAACCGTGATCAGAAAGAGTTACACAGGTTGAAAAGAAACTGAAGTTGGATGATGCAGCAAAGACAGAATTAGGGGTTGTATGCTAGGTGGGATTGACAGAACGGTTCCAGATACGGTTTCAAAGGGAGCGCTATTTTACTTTATACGAATATTCAGATCCTTGCAAATGGTCCAGTCAGCAAACACAGATGAAGCTTTGAAGAACTCAAACTCATTAAGAGAATATTGTCTTTCAGCCCTCATTCCTAGAGTTACCCACAGACATCACTCAAGGTTGATAATGCTTATGAGCTCGGAGTGACGCATAAGCGATCAAAAATCGATTAGCAATTGTTATAACTACACTACATTATCTGGCATAAAACACTGACTACGTAAGCAACTTGTCAGGAAGGGAAAAATTACTTGATCATGTTGTGGTAATGCCAACATTTCCCAAACCATTTCGTTCCATCGGCATTCGACTCAAGGCGAAACCAATCCGAGTCCGTTTCCTTGTTGTTTTGAACAAACTTGATGATAGCTTGGTATTCCTCCTACAACAACCAAATATTCACCAAAACTGATTTAGTATAACTCGCTTATTAATCAACATTTTCTTGAATAATTACTTTTCAAAAACTTTGTTTATCGCTCCGTACTCATTGACAACATTTCCCACAAAGAGCACCACAGTAAAAACAAAAGAAGGAAAGATTAGCTAAGTAAACAACTCGAATTAGCGTACAGTTTTGGCTACTTGGTCCTTCGCCAAATGATGAGAATGTGGTATAGCTGCAATGATCTCACTTGAACTCCCTCTTTTATCCAGTTCTCACCTAATCGAAATGCCTTGAGGAGGGTAACATTTCACTAAAAAAGTTTAAGAGACATTTCCCGTTCCCACCTTCTCAAATGAATTTCTAAACAGTCTCCGAGGGCATCTTAAACAAGTTCACAGAGCTTATTCTCTTTGAATTTTCGGTCTTCCCTTTTAAACCTATCTCCTTCGCGATGAAAGAGATTAAAAGGCTGAACCTATTCTCTTCAGATAATGATTTACTCTTGTTTATCACTTTTTAAAAATTAGTCTAGCACATGAGTAACACATGAATCTGCTTACGTCACTTCAGCGATTAAAAAATCAAAGGCGTACCTTCAACCGCTCAATCCACAAGTCTCCGTCCCGTGGACCAGCTTTGGTTTTACACAACGGAATCGCCTTTAAGCGAGATTTCGTCGAATCATCCATCGAATTCTACACCTCTGAACATTGAAACTATGGAAAAAAGACTCTTCAAACTCAAATAGGTCCATTACACCAAGATATAGAATTATTACTGATACCAACACATCAACAAGTCACCCAAATTGAAAAGGGTCGTAGGAGTATTTAAACAAAAAACTTCTTCCGTGCGTGTTGTCAAAATGTCTGTAATTTTTCGTACCAAAAGTCCGTAATATGAATACTGCGAAAAGTTACAATATAACTATCTTTTTAAATGCTCGGGTAATCTAAACATAAGAAAATTCGTAGTAAGAAGTATGCCGGCCTGCCATGAAATTGGAATTTTACCTTTCTCTATAGAAATCTACTTGAAGTTAAGCAATCGTAAGGAGTTTTGAGAAAGAGTTTCGAGCAAATGACGTTTTTTTCAACCCTGTTCTTTCAAATGTCATTTTAACTGGCAAAATCAGACAGAAGAACAGTGTGGCATTGATTTTACGTTCTTATGCGCAGTTTCGAGCTTGTCCTTGGCAGAGAAAAGAAACCTGATAGCATGATTACCACGATGAATTTGATATTATTCATAAAATCTACAGTATGTGCAGGTCGCCACAGCTACAGTAAGCTTCACTTCGTTGCAAGAGTATGCTTTACATAAGGAGCACAATTACCGGTATTAGTTCAAAATCCAGCAATGTTTTCACTTGAAGCAATGGCTGTAAGGTTAAAAAGTATTGAAATAATTCTATGGTGATCATATAAATAGCTCAGTATCCTATAAACCCTTGAACATGTGTTCATGAAAAGTATCGAAGAATTTAAGGTATTCAGGCCTAATTTCACGCTGCTCGATCGAAGTAGAATCATCAAGCACCGTAAAGAAGGATGGCCACGGTAAGATCCTTTCCGCGAATCGATTCATTCCTTAAAGCTGACCCTCTTAGGACATGAATTTTGACGAAGACGAGTATTTCGTCCGCGACGTCGAATCAGAGGAAGACACCAACAAGGAAGAGGAGGAGACATCTCAGAGACCTCCGCCTGCTCATGATACTCAAGTCGAAAACATCGAAAAGGCAACTGATGACCATGAAGATATACTTCGAATTCTTATCGCTAGCGATATTCATGTTGGCTATGGAGAGAACAAACCAAACCTGTGAGTTCCGCTCATTTTCAATAAAGCTAGATGTTCATCTCCGAAGGAGGGTAGGAAATCGGTCTCTCAAAGTTCGGATTAATGAACTCTAAGAATCCATGCTTGAAGGGAATCTGCTCTTTCAGGTATCTCGACTCAGTCAATACATTCGAAGAAGTACTGAAGATTGCAACAGAAAAGAAAGTAGACATGGTTCTGCTAGGTAGGTGTTAAGGAGTTATAGTGGAATTTCTGTTGCTTAGCACTTATTGTTTGCTTTATTGAAGGGAATCAGTGCCGGTTTCCAGCTTTTGAAACGAAGCATTCGCGATAAATATTGATTTTACGCGCACGCGATCGTTAACCGTTTTCAAAACGAATGCCTCAAGTGTGGTAATAGTTCGTTGAGCTTCAGGTGGAGACTTGTTCCATGAAAATAACCCGTCGCGTGATATGCAGCATCGCGTAATTCAACTCCTTCGTCAGTACTGCCTCAATGACAGGGAGGTACGACTCGTCCGCCTCCTTATTTCTTCCTAATTTACTGTATTTTACGCGTTTTCTGTTCCTTCAGGTGGCGCTAGAGTTTGTTTCCGACGCTTCAGTGAATTTTGAACACAGCCGTTTCGATCGAGTTAATTACGAGGTTAGATATGATTTGATCCGATCTACTTAAGGCAGTAGTAACTCGTTGATGATACTCACTCATTCAAGGATGCCAACATAAACGTAGGCCTACCGATCTTCACCATCCACGGAAATCATGACGACACAGCTGGAAAGGTATGATACACTATATCAGGCGGTATCAATCAGTTTGTAGATTTCATTTCCAGTTTTGAAGACTATAATAAGCGCTTTCCAGGGCCTAACAATACTTGATGTGTTGCATGAAGCAGGTTTGGTCAACCTATTCGGGAAGTTCTCAGATATTGACCAATTCGATGTGAGTTATTTACCTTCAATGTTTCGAAGGCGCTTTGATTCTTACACATACGCATACAATGATTATTCTGGAAGTTTCTTAAATGGTTGAGCTTCTTGATGTTTGTTCTGTGAGGACATGAGGCCTAGCTTTTTAAGATTATTTCCTGCCTTCTATATTAAGATCAACTTGGGCGATCAGATGAGTTGTCGTTCTGGTGAACGTGTGGGTTGATAGCTGATGGTGCCATTAAAATTTTAGCGGGCTAGGCAAGCGAGTGGTCTTGTGGTAGCGAAGCTACCAAAGTTAGAAATCCTTATCGAAGGCTTACACACCCATATGACTTAAAAGAAGCTGAACGTTATATTTTGAACAGGTTAGCCCCATACTCCTAAGAAAAGGATCTACACGTGTGGCCTTATTTGGTATAGGAAGTCAAAGAGACGATCGACTCTGCAGAGCATTCGCTGGTATGACATTTGAATTGATTTGAAATTCATACCTCTCACAATCTACTAGCCTAGGACATACCATACGGTTTCTACGACCACGTGCTGGATATGATGATTGGTTCAATATCTTGGTCCTCCACCAAAATCGTCCAAAAAGGTCTTGCCTACTTCTATTTCATAAGTTGCCGTTACCTCACAGTCTTTTATCTGATGAAGCCATTGAGGCAATAATACGATTAGTTATCATTTTGATCTATTCTTATGAAGGTCGACGCTTCGCTCGACTGGTGCCTACCTTCCTGAACAGTACATCCCTACGTTTTTCGATCTAGTTCTTTGGGGGCATGAGCACGAGTGCAAACCACGTGAGTCTTGGGTTCAAGCCTTTTCCGATAGGTAAGGGGTAATCCTTGCACGATCTCAGATTGCCAGTATGTAGCGTCTTCTGATGCAGTTGGTGATGGTTTTTACATTTTACAACCGGGTTCAACCATCGCTACTTCATTGACAAGAGAGGAGGCGCTGCAAAAGAATGTTTTTCTCATCAAGGTTCGCCTCTTCTTTTCTTTTGTAGGAGTAGTAATCTTTGCAGTCGAACTTTGAACTTTCATTTTCAGTTATCAAAGACTTCTAGAAATTGAAAGTTTCAGATTAAAGGTAGAAAATTTCAATGCAAACCTATTCCACTGCAAACAACTCGTCCCATGGTCGTTGATGAAATCATTCTCGACAGTCTACCAGAAGGCGTACGACTTCCCGCCAACGGTGTACGACCGTCTGGCGGAGGGTTTGTGCTGGTGTGTGATGCTTGATCCCTTTTTTTCTTGGTTTTCCCAATTTGAGGTAGTTTACGCTATCAAATGATGCTTGAAAGTGATTATAAACTTAATCGCAAAAAAAAANAAAAAAAAACAAAGCGATCTTTTTTTATTCAGGATGAAATGATAATAGATGACAAGATAAGTGAAATGATACGATGGGCTGAAACTAATCGTGGACCGCAGCAACCGAAACTTCCGTTGATCCGGTTAAAAGTGACCTACGCTGGCCCTTGGGCGATCATGCAGGTAGGATAGACTAGTGTACTTTTTACTCTACGTCATGAATGGTACTATTAAGCCCATTAATGCCCGTCATATCGGTACCAAGTTCGAAGACCGTGTAGCAAATGCTCCTGAGATGGTGGTGACAAGGAGGGTAGGTCTTCTGTGAAGCTTGCCTGAAGCTTGCATACACGCCTTTATGACTTATATAGAAGGTTTCATAAAGTTTAAGTCAGCTGTGTTTTAGGTGGTTGAGAAAAAGAAGAAGAAAGGATGTGCCAGCATGGAAGAAGATCAAGGTGATATCATTGATGCAGCCTGTCTCGATCAAGTGGTGGGTTCGGCCTTCTAGAAGTACTTTTGATTTCGTTCATGTGTTTTTATCTACTCTTTCTGGAAGCCTCTATGGAGGGGGGAAGGAGGAGGGGGAGGGGGA